CTTTGTAACTGCTATGTATCACAATAGAGAAAATATATAAAGAATAATGACTAAATATTACTTTTGTCTGTTAACCAGAAATGAAATAAAACATATTTTATAAAGAGAAATGAATAGATTTTAATATCTAAGATACAATGTATTTCATGTATCCTTTTATTAGATAAAAATTAACTACTCCATGTAACAAAATAGTTGTTTCTTAAATTACAGTCTTAAAACAGAAAATGTTAACATACAACTCAGATAAATATTAATAATAGTAGTTTTTGATAATATTAGTCCTTAGAGGAAGCAATAAAAGATTTGGTTTATATATAGTCAAAACAATTAGACTGATTAAACCATAAAAAATGAATAAATTATAAACGAATCCTTTACGATTCATGCATTGCATACATGAAATCACTTTGTGTTTTAACAGTTATTGTAGTTTGTTGAATTCAAGCATGTACAATAGTTTTTGAATTAAGAAACCAATTCTTTGCTCTTATTTACTTGTGATCATAACAATCTAAACTGTGTTACAAGTCAAATGGTAAAGGCAGCTGTAATGAATACCTGAGGAAGATTTTTAAAGCATTCCTAAGAATTAACAAAATTATTAGAGATAATTCCTAATACATGGTCCTCTGTATTTGTGGGTTCTGTATTTGCAGATTCAAGCAACTGCAGATTGAAAATATGTGAAAAAAATTGTGTCTGTACTAACCATGTGAAGCATGTACAGACTTTTTTCTTGCCATTATTCCCAACAACACAGCATAACTATTTACATATTATTTGCATTGTATTAGGTATTATAAGTAATCTAGAGATAATTTAATGCATATGGGAGGATGTGCATAAATTACATGCAACTGCTACGCCATTTTATATTGGGGGCTTGAGTATCAGCAAATTTTGGTATCCACAGGGGTTCATGGAACCAATCAATCCTCCAGAGATACTGAGCGATGACTAGAATTATTTTTTTCAAAAGGAGAAAAGAAACAGATATTCATATATTAATAATTATAAACCAGTAAACATTGATCCGATTCTGCACATCCTTCCTTTGAGAATAACATTTTGGAATGAAGACAGATTCTGTTTTATCTTACTTTGAAATATGATTACTACTGGCTGGTTGGGGTAACATAATGGGGAATCATGACGAAGCTCACAGGTAAAGTATGAGGTAGTGAATTATCTACGTCTACAATGGGAACAAGATAGAAAGTGGTGGTATCTGTGTTGAGGATTTGTTGACCTTGTTTTTACAGACTTTCCCTTAATCTAGGAACTACTTCAGAAAATTTATTTTCTATCATGGTGGGTTCAAATATACTACATAAGCAATGGAAAAAGTCATCTCTAACAACACTTTAATAAAACATGGTATTTTATAAGAGATTATTAGGTATGATATATTTATAATTTACCGAAAAAATATCATATAGTGGTTAACTAGATATAAGAGAAAAATCCACAGGTTACATCTGTATGGTTGTTCCTTGAAGGCGCTTGTTTATATTAAAATATCATTATGGTGATTTATTCTTTTGTTTTCCTCTAGAAAATA